AATTTATTTTGAAATAGCTTTGCAAGTACAGAAAAGTCACAAGGATAGTACAAACAACTCACATGTCTCGCTCATTCTGACTCCCAGCTGAGTACACATACCCACCATCACAGCCTTTTTCTGTCGGCTGGAGCATGAGCTGCCATCATGGTGCCCTGTTACCTTCCAAGTACCCCGCTGTGTATGTCCCCACACAACGACGCTCTCCACGCCACTACCCTGCATCTCTCCAAGTCGCGAGGTTGACGTCGATACAATGCTTCTCTTCATCCTACAGGCTCCATTCCCATGCCACCAGCGGTCCCAGAAACACTCTTGTCTCCTTTCTGGTTCAGGAACACACGTTGCATGCAGCTGTTGTATCTCTTTAGCTTCCTCCTACTTGGGGCAGTTCTTCAATACTCCATCTTCCCCTGTATTCCATACCATTGAAAGTTTTCGGGAGTGCAGACCTTACATTCTGTTGGACGACCTCCAACCCGGTCCCTCTGATGTTCCTTGTGACTGGGTTTGGGTCACACAGTGCTGATGGGAACCTCCTGGACATGGCACTCTGCGTTCCTGGCCCCTCCCAGCACTGCCGAGGTTAACCTTCGTCGCCTGGTCGTGCTGCGGCTTCCTGGTTTCTCCAGCTCAGCGTTAGCACTTTTCCCTGGTAACCGATCAGTGCGTTGTGGGAGTGACATTCGGAGGTTATACTGCCTCTCTGCTCCCCACCAAGTCTCCATTTCGCCATTCCTTTTAATCAGCCAGCACTCTATTAGCTCGGACATCTGGCTTCCTGTTTTGTCCAATGCTGTGCTTCACTCCTATTCTTTAGTTTGATTCTCAAATTACCCCAGATTTGGCCCACGGGAGCTTCATCAATATGTCTCTTGTGTTCTATTGCCATGACTCTATCAGTCTTTGAGCACTCCTTATACTCTGGTAAAACAAGATGCTCCAGACTCCTCTGTGCTCTCCTGCTGCAGCCCTGGTGCCAGCTGTTTGTCGTGGGAGCTCCGGATCCCTTTGTAAGGACGGGGTGTCTAGAAACCAGCGGCTGTGTGCTTGGTGTGCTCATTGCTGCTGAAGCATCGTAGCTTCTTGGCCTCCTCGGTGGACAGAGAGAGAAAATATATGTAAATGCACATACACATCTATAGGTATTTCCTTATCTTCCTGTGAGTCTGTATATTCGAGACCATTAGTTCAAACCAGTGCGTCTAACTCCAATGCAACATGTCAAAGTCCTGTCTGCCCTGCCTCCCCTTCCACGATTATACGTAGATTCTTCACTACTTAGAAACGTGGCCCTCTTAATCCCCGATGTACTTCCTTGCTCCATCTGTGTACTTATTTCTCAGGGTAACCTCCCTCCCGTCCATTCTGGTGTCTTCCCCACCTGCCGCCCCCACCCTCCCAGTGTGCCCCACCCTCCTGCACTGGTGGGCTCGTGCGTCACCAGATGCCTCTGCGTGCAGCCCCTGTGACCTTGGTGTGGCGGGTGACCATCTCTGCACCCTCTGCAGCTTCCCCTCCCGGGCGGGGCAGCTCCCACCAGCGCCTCTGCACAGGGGAAGAAGAGAAAGTCTCTTCATGATTCCGACCCTCGTCCCAGTCACTGAGTTCCTGAAGAAACATAAATGCATCTCGTTCATCTTTGTGGCCCCACAACCTAGAGGCACCGGGTTACCCAAAGTACTTGTTAATGGAACGAATACATGAAATGCTAAATAAGCGTGCCATTTAGAAGATAAAAAAAAAAAAACCCAAACTATTTCCAATCATTTTCAAATACTCTCCCCTCCCAGAGGAGCCACTTTTCCAGAGCATCTATAGCATATGGACAAAGTTGGCCACTCTGAGTAAAGCTTCCTTTTTTCCCCTTTGAGGTGTGAAATGGACTGAATATTTGTGTGACCTCAAATTCATATGTTGAAACCCTAATTCCAATGTGATGTAGAAGGCAGTGGGGCTTCGGGAGGTGACTAGATCGCAAGGGTGGAGCCTTCCTACCTTGTTCTCTTCCTGCCACGGGAAGGCAGCCGACTGCAACCCGGGAGGGGGCTCCCACCAGAACCCGACTGTGCTGGCACCCTGGTGTCTCTCTTCCAGCTTCCAGAACTGTGAGCAATAAACATTTGTTGGTTAAGCTGCCCAGTCCGGGTACTTTGTTACAGCATCCCAAACTGACACAGCCAAGGAGGTCTCCCTTGCACCTCTTTGTTGTTTAATAACAATAACGATTTCATTGAACACCTCGTGGGGTTATTATTCCCATTTAGCAGTTGAGGTTCCGAGACTCAGATGGGGTAAGTGATTTGTCAAATATGATATGCGAAGTTAGTGTCAACGTTGATGCCTGAATCCAGGTGCCCTGATTCTTGGTGTTGTGATTCCGGTTTTTTTCCAGTGATGTGCCATCTGCCGCCCCGGGGCAGAGCGCTAGCCAGCAGGGGAGAGAGGCTGGGCAAGCTTGCCCACGGTCCTGCGTGCCAGGCACAGACTTTTGTCTGTGGAGGTCACTCGGAGTCCTCCAGGACTTTGAGAACATTTTGTAATACAGGTTGAGTATCGCTTGTCTGAAATGCTTGGGATCAGAAGTGTTTTGAATTTCAGATTGTGTTTTGGATTTTGGAGTATTTGCCTAGAGACAATGAGATATCGTGGGGATGGGACCCAAGTCTAAAAAGGAAACTCATTTATGTTTCTTACACACTTTATACACATGGGCTGAAGATAATTTTAGATAATATTTCAAAATACTTTCATGCATGAAACAAAGTTTTGACTGCAACCCATCACATGAATTTTCCACTTGTGGCATCATGTCAGTGCTCCAAAAATTTCAGATTTTGGAGCATTTTGGAGTTCGGATTTTGCGTTAGGCATGCTCAACATGTGGCATGTACAAAAGCACTTGGAGGGAGCCAGGGAATAGCAAATGTTTCTGTAGATGTTTCTGCATTCCTTTGCTCATTTGTTCACTTACAAGTTTGTGCCTAGCTGAGTGTTAGGAAAGTCGCTCTGTTGGTGGTGTGAAGGAACCATGGCAGGAGCAAGAGAGATTAGGCAGAAGTGATGATGACTTGGGCTTGGCGGAAGGGGCAGTGGAAATGGAGATGTGATGACAAAGGGAGGCTGGGCTGGGTTTTTAAATTTATTGCGAACATTCGAAGACAGTACTTAATGGTACTGCTAATAATAGCCAATCCTTTTGGACACTTACTAAGTGGCAGGCATGATGCTGAAGGCTTTGCATAGATTATCTCAGTTAATTCTCAGAAAACCTTATGACATAGATACTATTATTAACCCCATTTCTTGCAGATTAGGTAACTGAAGATTAGAAAGGTTAAGTAACTTGAAGGTCAGACAGCTAGAAAGGGCAGAATTGAGGCACAAATTCAAGTTTTTCTCCTAACCCCTGTGTGCTAGATCTTGACGCACCTTTACATACATAACCACATGGCAGCGTGTTATTTTAGAGCATATAGCTCCAGAATTTTAATGCACTTCACCAAAGTTTTGATTCTATAGAGGAAGGAATAATGTATTAAGCAATGACTCCTGTAACATGTGGACGCTTGGCGTTAAGGAACGGGCACATTTCAGTATTGTCCTGGAAGATACTCTCAGTCCAGACTCCATTGTGTATTGTCAGTGGGGTGTCTCAGTTGGCTCCAGCGGTCACTTCTGAAGAAGGTGGCGTGGACTAAGAGCCCCGGTAACTACCTGGGACTTGGTCCTGGGCAGATGACCCTTTCTGGCATCCTTTGTAAATCCTCAGTTTCTGGCTGTCAGTTCCAATGCATATGGCGAGTTTATGGGAAGGGCTCTCACTTGACAGCCCCAGAGATGCACAGCATCTGGTCCCTGCCTTTCCTCTACCCCAGGGGGTGCCCTTGGGGGTGGGCCAGTGCAGAAGAGTCGTGTCAAGAGGCACACCATGACTAGTGTTAACCTCTACCGGCATATGGTAAAACGTTTTGTTCAAAAATAACATGCTTGCTGAAAACAGTGTTTTCATTTTGAATGGAGTCTTAGGGAAATAACCTCCTTGGAAAAGGGCCTGTAGGGCTGCGCCGTGGGAACATATAAGGGAGTTTTTGTAATTCAGGGTAGTGCCTCTAAAACATTTTCTTGTCATGCACGGAAAAGGATGATATTTGCATTGAACACTGGAGTGAGTGAGTAGTAAGTTCTCATGACCAGGGGTGGCTGCCCTAGGGCCACCCACTGCCCCAGGGTGAAGGGGGCCAAAGTCTCCGTGGGTCCACCAGCCTGGCCATGACCCCCAGGAGGGAAGCTCTGAGGAATGGTATTTTAAAACCCAGTCCTTGCATTTCTCTAAAAATTGCTTTATGAGAAAGTTTCAATTCTTTAAGTATTTGATTATGAAGTTCTCACTGGAGGGGATTCCAATTTCTGCAGCTTATTTTTTTAAAGAAAAATTATTTTATAGGAATTCTATATTTATACCTTGTCTTAGGAGACCTAAGATCATTAAAAAATTATAGTAACCCTACTGTCTAACAGAAGTGGATATGTGGTCATCACAGCATGGTAGCATTTGAACATTGCTTCTGTGGCTTTAGTAACTGTCTGGCTCTATCTTGATGGGCAGTTTCTTAAAATCCACACTTGGGCACTGATTTCTTCTTCAAGCAATTTTATAGGACCCATCAAAATTAGCAGTTTTCTTTTGCCAAATGATCATTATGGTTTTAAAAAGAATTAATATTGTCACTCTGTCTGAGGCTCACAATTATGACCACCATATAAATACATCAGCCATCATCTCCGAGAGTCAGAAGAATAAAAGGTAGTGGGAGGGCCGTGTTGCTGGTGAAAAGAAGAGTCTTAGCAGCGATGAAAGTGCTGGCCTAGAAACCAGTAACCCTCACATGACGTCATTAAGGAAAAGGTTGAGTAGGACTGGAGCTGGGAGACACCAGGTTATCTATTATGAGTTTCATGGCTCATTTTTCCTCTCTCTCATTGGTTTGGGTTTCCAGCGGAGACATTAAAACAAAGATTGGAAGACCTGGAACAGGAGAAAAGCAGCCTGCACTTTCAGCTTCCTTCCAAGCAGCCACCTCTTGGCAGCTTCCTGGCTCACCTGGCGGCCCAGGCCCAGGCTGCCTTGCACCACCGGGCCACTCAGCAGTGAGTATTATGGGTTGTTTCTGCCACTTTTTCCTTGTGTCTCTTCCTCCCTCTCAGCTCCCACATAGCAAAGAGCTAGGAGGGGCTTAGCTGCCTTTTCCTGGGAAGGAGCCCTTTGTTGCTTGGTTGGGTATGTGTGGGTGAGGGGGGGACCCGTGTGGGTCATGCTTCCCTGGACAGAAGCCCTTTCTGCTTGCTGCTTGACTGAGAGACCCTCCACAAGTGCAGCTGCAGCCTGGGCATCTCGCTTCCCCCGGGAAGCCACACTTCTGAGAAGGTGGGTGTATTTCCTCTTGTCCAGGGCAGCTCTGTCTCCTGTGATTGTGTTAAGCCTGTAAGATCCACAGACGGTCCCCTCTGGCTGAGAGATGAAAACCCATCCTCCTCCCAACTCTACCTCCAGCTCCTGAGCAACTTTTGCTGTTTGGACCACCCAGCGCTCTCCTGGGATTAGCAGTTGCTATTTCTAACTCAGTGGCTATCGGTCCTGGCTGTACATTGGAATGACCGAGAGACATTTTATTTATTTGTATATTTTTTGTTTTAAAATATTAATGAGGTACAAGTGTTTTTGTCACATGGATGAACTATATAATGCTGAAGCCAGGGCTTTTAGTGTGCCTGTCACCAGAGTAGTGTACATTGTACCTGATAAGTGCATTTTTATCCCTCTCCCCACTCCCATCCTCCCCTTTTCTTAGTTTCCCATTTCTTTTACGCCACTATATGACTGCATATACCCATCACTTAGCTCCCACTCATTAGGGAGAACATGTGGTGTTTGTTTTTCCATTCCTGAGGTACTTCACTTAGGATAATCTTCTCCAGTTCCATCCAAGTTGCTGCAAAAGACATTATTTCAGTCCTTTTATATGGCTGAGTAGTACTCCATGGTATATATATGCCATATTTTCTTTATCCACTCATAAATTAATAGGCACTTAGGTTGGTGCTATATCTTTGCAATTGTGAATTGAGCTGCAATAAATATTCAAGTGTGGGTGTCGTCTTGATAAAATGACTTCTTTTCCTTTGGGTAAATACCCAGTGGTGGGATTGCTGGATCAAATGGTAGGTCTACTTTTAGTTCTTTGAGGAATCTCCATACTGTTTTCCATAGAGGTTGTATTAATTTGCAGTCCCACCAACAGTGTATAAGCATTCCTTTTTCACTGCATTCATGCCAACATCTATTGTTTTTCTATTTTTTTGATAATGGCCATTTTGATAGGGGGAAGCTTATCACCTTACTCTTATCTCATTATGGTTTTAATTTTATTTCTCTGATTATTAGTGATGTTAAGCATTTTTTCATGTTTGTTGGCCTTTTGTCTATCTTCTTTTGAAACAACTCTGTTCATGTCTTTTGCCTACTTTTTAATTGGATTATTTGGTTTTTCTGTGCTGATTTGTTTGAGTTCTTTGTAGATTCTGGATATTGGTCCTTTGTCAGAAGTATAATTTGCAAATATTTTCTCCCATTCTGTAGGTTGTCTATTTACTATATTGATTATTTTCCTTGCTGTGCAGAAACTTTTTAATTTAATTAAGTGCAATTTATTTATTTTCATTGTTTTGGTATTTGCCATTTGGGGTTTAGTCATAAATTCTTCACCTGGGCTGATGTATAGGAGAGTTATTCCTACATTTTCTTCAAGAATTTTTGTGGTTTCAAGTCCTTTTTTTAAATTTTTTTGAGACAGAGAGTCACTCTGTTGCCCTGGATAGAATGCAGTGGCATCATCATAGCTCACTGCAACCTCAAACTCCTGGGCTCAAGCTATCCTCCTGCCTCAGCCTCCCGAGCTGGGACTACAGGCATGTGCCACCATGCCTGCCTAATTTTTTTCTATTTTTGGTGGACACAGGGTCTTGCTCTTGCTCAGGCTGGTATCGAACTTCTGATCTCAAGTGACCCTCCCTCCTTGGCCTTCTAGAGTGCTAGGATTATAGGTATGAGCCATCAGGCCTGGCCTGGTTCATGTCTTACATCCATGTATTAGAATTTCATTCCTTTCAATGGCTGAATAATATTCCATTGTACGGACAGACCACATTTTGTTTATTCATTCATCCATTGATTGGATAGGAAGTAACTTATTTAATTTTGGTGACAATTTTAGGGGGTGGTATTTTATATATTGATATCTGTGTGTGTATAGAAATATGTATCTATGCCACCTTTAGTTATGTCTGGATTGAAAGATGAGGAAAGCAGGTGCAGGAGAGGCTAAAGGACTTGGGCAGACTGCCCAGGAGGTGAGGCTGAGGCGGACACAAACCCAACTGTCTGGCTTGCATCCTGGCCCTGAGCTTGGTGCACTGTGCTGCCTCTCTTAAGTCCAGGCTGGCAAAGGCTTCTACATTATTGTATCTTTAGCCCTTCGTCCAATTTGGATGGAGAGTGATTTGTTATGATCTCAGTTGAGTTTCTCATAGGACATGATTAAAGTAAAACCAATGTCATGTATTCTGAATTATATTAGGTTATACCATAGGACATTTCTTATATTTGACTGTTTGAAACTTATCAAAATAGCTATTTTATGTTTCCCATGGAAATGTAGGTCTTTATGAAACCAATTAAGACAATTTAATCCAATATTAACTGTTGGCTAGCTTTCTGAGCTATGATCCTCTCTCCTTTTCCTCATAGGAGTTACCTGTATACTGTATATTTATGTCCCATTCACATTTTTTTATAATAAAAACTTTTATTTTCGTATTATTTTGTTTCAAAACACAACAGTTTGTTCAAACAAAATATTCTGTTCAAAATATTAAGAGTGACAATGTACTTGAATGTATATAAAATACGTGACTATATGTGTATATACGAATAGATAGAAATGACATAGATGGCGGCAATCATACATGGGCAGGATGGAAGATCTGGGATTATTTTGTTATTATAAGGTGTTTGCACCGCTTGTGAAGCAGTACAGTGTAATTCGAAAGTGGCCTTGGATTAGTTGCCAATGCTTATTGTTAAACTCTAGGGCAACCACTAAGAAGAAAAAGATAAATACAAAGTATAACTGATATATTAAGGGAGAGAAAGAAATGGAATCATATGAAGTAAACCACAAAAGGCAGGAAAAATGAGGAAGACACAGATAGGAACAAAGAAGTAGGACAACAAATAGAAAACAGTAAAACGTGGTAGATATTAATCCAACTCTATCAATAATCAGTTTAAACTTCAATGGTCTAAATGCACCTATTAAAAGATAGAGATTGTCAGAGGGGTTCCAAAATAAAACCCAACTATATATTGGCTACAAGTAACCCACTTTAAACATAAGGATGCATATAGATTAAAAGTAAAGGGACGAGAAAAGATTCACCATGCTACTTCTAATCAAAAGAAAGTATAAGTAGCTATATTAATTTCAGGCAGAGGAGACGCCGGAACAAGGAAAGTTATCAGGGATAAAGAGGGTATTACATAGTAACAAAGGGCTCAATTCTCCACATAGACATAACAATCCTTAATGTGCATGCACCTAACAAAAGAACATCCAAATATGTGAGACAGAAACTAATAGGAGTGTAAAGAGAAATAAATAAATCCACTATTGTGGTTGTAGTCCTTTATCAAAAATGGACAAATCTAACAGGCAGATACTTGATAAGAACATAAACTCCAGAGCATCATAAATCAACTGGGTATGATTGATATCTACAGACTACTTCATCCAACAAAACAGAATACAGATTCTTCTCGAGCTCCCATAGAACATTCGCCAAAATATCTGACAGCTTGTGGCTTAAAATGCTCCTTGACAAACTTAAAAGAATAGAAATCATACAATGTTAGTTCTCAGACCCATTCACTTTTTGAGCCCACTGTGATCTGGTTTCTATCTCTGTCATGTCCAAGATCTTGTCAAGGCCAGCAGTGATTTACTATTTCAATTCTTATTCTACTCTGTATCACTGTATTGTCCAAAACCTTTAATCAAATTCATTTTTAAAACTCATGCTCCCCTGGGCTTTCATAATTTCACACTTCCTGGTCTTCTCGCCACCTTTCTGGCCATCCTTGGTCTCTATGAGCTCTGTCCCTCTCCCTTCTCCTTCATGTTTATGTTCCTCCATCTGCTGTTTGAGCCTGTCCTCTCCTCTCACTTTGTGTGTTCTTTCCGGGTGATCTCAACCACTCCCAGCCTTCAGATATCCCTTCTGTACTAATTTCCCTCAAATTAGGGAAAAGTCTGCATCTCCAGCTCTGCTTTCTTTTCAGAGTTCTAACCCACAATTCAGCTTTCTATTGAACACCCCCCCTACCTTTACTAAATTGATTATCACTTATCCTTATATTATTATTAAAAATTTACTATCTTTTTATCCTTGCCTTCACTAAGTTTACTTTTTAAACTAAATTTACTAAAATCATTCTCCATATTCAGCCCCTTCTCCTGTATCCCCAGTCTGAGGGCTTCCACCACCACCTGCCCAGTTACCCAGCAAGGGCTCTGTGGCTCTCTGGGACCTGCCCTTCCCCTTCCTCCTCTGGTCACCAGGTCCTGCTGCTTTTACTGTCTGCCTCTCTCTCCTTCCCACCCACTTTCCCAGCTCTGCATCAACGCCTTAGTTCTGGTCTTTAAATTTTTAATCTGGATTATTACAATGGTCTCCTTGCTGGTATTCCTGATTTTATCATCCCTCCCTCTCACTCATCTTCCATAAGGCCACAGGTGCAAAGATCATGCCATGCTCAGTGGTACCCATTGCTTTCAGGCTAAAATTCATGCTCCTTAGCATGACTTTAAAACTTTCATGATCCAGCCCCTGCCCAGCTCTCCAGCTGCCCAGAGTTTGGCCATCACCAGCCCCTGCACCTGCAATCCACACATACCGAAGTATTAGAAGTCGCCTCGGTGTTTCTGGATTCTGTGATCTTGCACATGCCCCATTGCTGTTGCCAACTGTTGCTCATTGTTTAAGACTTAGTGAAGCCACCATCCTCACAAAGCTCTGCCCCTCAGCCACCCTGC